CTCGTGTTACCAGGCAGGATACACACTGATTCCATTACCATTGATTAGGCCATAAAGTGCATGAGTGTGTGTGTGTGTGTGAGAGTGTGAGCGTTTGAATGTGTGTGTGTGTGTGTAGCAAATGTATGTCAGTGTGACATCGACTGTAAAAGGATTAGAAACATGCAAGCCAAGAATCGTGCGTGTGTGAGTGTGTGTGTGTGCTGACAGAACATTAGTCAGAGAGCTTGTCGTATTACATGCTGTATTACAGCACTCACTGTGGACATCAGTGATTCAAATGTATCCCTGCCACACTCACATGATCATCTGCTTTCAGTTACAAAAAACATATATGTGAAAAATCACTAGTTATACGTCAAGTTTGGATCCTGACTGTACTGTACATTCAGTTCTTCCACCGTCCATTCACTCATCTAACACACACTCAATACACCTTATTATTTGCACTCACTGCAGGAGCTTAAAATACTACTTCACCCAGCGGAGGGTTCAACTTCCGGTCGGAAGCGTTCGTCCAGTGTCGCCGAGTGCAGGGCAGTGAATAAGTCTATGACTGACCGGCTGACTGACACCTGGACAAATGGATTGTGAGGCGACTGTAGACTGATTGATATTGTTGAGGACGACGGTTCATCGAGCTGTAAAAGCAACTCTCAACACATTCTACAAGACACCATGAGTAACACTATGAAAAAGTTACTTTGAAAAACATCTACCAAGTTAATGCTTATGATTTGAGTTCTGTTTTTACCATCATTTTCTCTGATTTCTCCCATAAAATAATAATTCCATCATTTTGATATGCCACAATCAGAAACAGGTGTGAAACACACACATCTACCTGCAGTTATTTGTCTTTCTGTTCCGCAATATGATTGGTGCAATAGAACGACAGATCATGATGAATCATGTTAAATAACAATTGTGATTATTGTGATTGGTCATGTTCAGATTGTAAAGCAAGTAAACCAGAAAGACAAAAAAGGAGTACATTATAAATTGTTGACTTGTTGTTGGTTTTATAGAGATTTTACAGCTTATTTAAACCTGTCTTAGAGGGCTACCAAGGTTGGGCCACGTAGGACCTATGGTTCTACAATGCTGTCTACAGAGGGGGCTATTTGAGACACCTTTTACGTAGCCAACATTACCAAATCTGAAGAGTTTTGCATTTCAAGCAAGCACATGAAAATTCAATTTGTTAAAGAGAAAAGTAAATCTATAGAATTTCAAAGAAAGCCTCCAGTGACTCCGTGGGTGACGGTTTCTGAGAAGTTCTGTGGCTTCACTGAGTTCGATTTGCTTTTGTCTGTCAGTCTAAAATGAGGATGACTTCTGCTTCTGCCTTCAGCATTCAGAGAGTGATGCTTCTGACAGGAGACTTTGACCAATCAAAGGGCAGTTCACGTGGAGGGTTTGGGGAGGGGGGGGGGTCAACTTCTAGACTGCATGAATGGATGGAGAAGCATACACACTGATACACTGTTTGGATTCATAATAATGAATGTGGGGACTGATGAGAACAAATGGGATGGGGTTATTTCACTGATGAATCAGATAAAGATAAAAGTTATCACTGTGCCCTACATACATCAACATGGAGTCTCTCTCTCACACACACACACACACACACCTTTACTGGTGGGCTCTGCAGTGGTCAGTTCAGCAAAGACCAACTACTAACACATACATACAAGCAGAGAAGTACACACGCACTACTGCACTTTATGCTAAAACCACATTGCCCCCTGCTGGTGAAGAGCAGAACAGCCTACAGTGCTTACTCCTCCAAATAGGACTCAAATATACATTTACATATACTTTTAATCGCTGATTGTACAGAATATAGTTTAACAGTTGAATAGCTCATCTTAGAGCTTGTTCTCAGTTTGTCTATTTAAAAAGTCACAGGCACAGAATTCTATTGATGATCATGTCATTCACAAGTTGAGCAGACTGTCTTTTCAATTCTACCAGGATTTTACCACATTCCCACAGTAAGAGTGTATATGATATTATGATTATGACTCTAGTTTCATCTCACATTACTAATCTTCACTGTCCCTTCCAAAAACACAGCAAACCAGCACACCGTCCATCTGATTGATCCTACAGCTGCACGCCTTTTCTCTCCTACTCAGCACTTCCACAGTCTTATGGTATTGGCTGATTCTTGGCCACAGCCTGACTGACCACCAGGGTCCGTCCAGGTTTGAGTCAAGAATGTCACTCTGGCCTTTCTTAAACTCTTTCACTGTGTTGCGTGGACACTGTCGTTCAAAGACACCACGGCGTGCAGCAGCATCGACCAGTCCAGACACAGTTGGGCCGAAGAAGCTACTTTGAGTCGAGGCGGCTGAGTAATCAGGTTCTATCACAGCTGCTATTGATTATTCATTTGAGCGTCATTGACTGGGACAATGAAACTGCTGCTGTTAGACAGAACCAGCAGGGAGATCTATCACATGGTTCTGGCACCAGTCATTGAGCGGGCAGAGCAAATGTTGAACAAGCGCACGTGTTAGCATATGTGTTGGAACAAATATTGTACCAAGGGACACATTGGCATGTAGACCAGCAAATCCTGAAATAAAACTACTAACCTGACACCTGCTGGACGACCAGTGTCTGAGGTTCAGCATCTTGTGAATGCTAGGGGGGAAAAAACATTAATTAATACAAATACAATTAATTAATTAATACAAAAAGTACATTAGTCTGAAAGTTGTTCACAGGGTTGTTGGTTCCATTCCAGAATGTGTTAATTTAAATGCCCTAAATGTGTCTTTGTTGCCCCAGGTGGTTGTAGATTTGTGCTTCTTTCCTAACCAGAATTTATTCTTGTTCAGGTATTAAGGTGGAGTTTGTCCAATAACTACAGTATAAAAAAAGAAACATTGACACTAAAGTTATGTGTTTCCTGTCAGTGTGTCTTCTTCTTCTTCTGTGTCCCAATGCCTATTTTATTTATCTTGTTGAAACATCTAAGGAATCTGGCAGAACTACAGAAAGGTAAATGACAAATATGTCCAGTGTGTCAGTCTATCATTATCTGGAGTACAAAAAAAATATTTTATTAATATTGTAATGAATTATTGAATTCTCATATGTATTGAATTTGCATTTTAAATGTTGAGACAAGGCATACCTCCGCCTCCACTGCTCATTCTGATGATTTAAATCCACTAAACTCTCATCCCATCCCCCATAAGTGCATTATGGGAAAGCTCAAGTGCCCCATAATGGGTCCTATTGATATGCAAGAGTTCTAATATCCCTATTTAATGTTAATTTCTAAAGCTCTCCAAAGGACAATATTAAAGCTATGCATTTAAAGAATCACATCAGTTATATAGATGTTTTTATAAAATCACCTTCCAATGGAATTCAACACTAAATTAAACCAGCTCTTTACCCCTCTATATGTATAGAAATTACCTTTAATATCTGGTTGACGACAAAGGGTCTGCTTTGAAGCGACAGGACTTCTGTAGAAAGAAACATTAAATTATGATTTTTAGTGGATGTTCTATTATTTGTGTGTCTTCTGGTCATGATTTGTTGCCGGTTTTTCTCTAAATGGGCTTAATACGTACCGAATTGACATCATTGTAAGTTACAATAGGAAAAAAAAGGTAAACTACAACTATGAGCAAACTATGAGCACCACAAGAAAATGTCATTTTGATTGAGAAATTCTATTATTGTCCCATAGATTTCCATTAACAACCAATCACTGTGGCTGTTTCTTAAACATGGACCATAATTCATACAATTTAATTTCTGAATAAAAAAATTACACAAAACATTCGTGAAATATGATGCCATTTTTAAAAAGTACATTTAAAAATCCTCTTTTTCTAATGAAGGATGGTAAGAAGTTATTTGAAGTTCTTTTTCTACAGACTTATTTCACACACACAAATAAAAACCCTAATCTGACTCTGGGAGAAGATTAAAGCAGCCAAATCCAGCTCACTGGACCTCCTCACCTCCTCTTCACACCCCCAAACCCACTTTCTCTCCCTATCACTAATTACTACAACTCGTCAGCCTCTGCCGGTTGCTGTGGCGACCAGTCGTCGCCATGGCAACCCCGTATGGCAGTGTGAGTGAATGGAGTGAGAGAGTCTTATCATGCAGGAAGGTGAGATAAGAGAGTTAATTTCTTATGGAGCAGATAAAAGAGTAGCAGGAGTCTGTCGGAGAAACATTTATATCACAGTCAGGCTGCGGCGGTGCTAAAAGGTCAAAACAAGATGGATGGGGTTTTAACCGCCACTGGTGAGGGCCGCTGTCCGGCTTTCGAAGTTCGAGTTTGGATTTTTATTATTATTAGGAGTGAATAAATAAATGTTTTACAGTTACATGTCAAACCTTAAATATGAACATGTGTGTTTTGCATTAGGAATTAGCAACTGTGCTATTATTGTTGCATTAGGGAACACTTGAAGGTTGGATTCCATCTGCCAGCTTACGCTCTAACATTTTGAGGGCAGGATTATGATAAATCAGGGTTGAGGTGGTCAAAGCAGGGGCACGTGGGCCACTGACAGATGTACTCTGAATGTTATAAGAACTGAAGCCTGTTAGGACAATTGGAAAAAAAAATTAAATCAATTGAAACTTTAGCTTCAAAATCAAGAGTTTTAAAACAGAAAAAAGTTAAATATTAATGAAAAATGTATAAAAATCAAATCAGGAGTTTGTTTCATAAAAAAAAAATTGCATCCATATATAAGAATTCAGTTTGAACAACAAACAAACCAGGCTAGTTATTAAAAAAAAGACATTGCTTGTTATTTGCTCATAATCTGAAGAAAATAGGAAAAAAATGACTTCCATACCAATTTGAATGCATTGTGTATTGTTTTTATTAACATTACTTTAAAAAAAAATTGTTTGAAAAAAATTGTTGAACGTGTTTGTAAAACTTTACATTCTTTAAAACCGCTGTCGTCACATTATTAGCTGAAAAACAATTCGTTAACACACAGACACACACACACACACACACACAGACACATGATCTCTGCTGATCCAGACACTTATCGACATCCACACTCATCAACCACCATGTCCTGGTAATGTCGCAGCACCACGTTGTCATTGTTGTCATAGTAGAGCATTGAAATGGGCGAGAGTCGGATGGGGACGCAGCAGGGCTGGGGGGTGCTGTGGGGGTCCAGGGAATGGACCAGGGTCTGCAGGATGGCATGATTGGTGCCGTTCAGGCTCTCGCTGAGTGGAAACGGACACTCTCCGTGGCAGTAGTTGGCCATGTAGCCCTGAGGAGCGATGATCCAGTCCTGCCAGCCCACGTCTTTGAAGTCAATGTACAGGCGTCGGGCTTTGCAGACATTACTGGGCGTCACAGGGAGGTGGACGGCACTCCTTCTCTGTCTGGAGCGACACTGGTGCGGGTTGAGAGACACGGCCACCAGTGAGGCCTGGATCAGGGGCAGAGGGAAAGCCGCTTCCACTGGGAGGGAGTTTCCTGGGTGGAAAGGAAGCAGATCTTCTGGCTCATCGTTGACAGGAAGTAGCTCCAAAACCAGTCCGTAGTTGCGTCCAGGTTTCCTCCAGTTCTCAGCCAGCGAGGTGAGGTCGATGGTGACGGAGGTGGGCTCAGGCTGCAGCTGGACGGACTGGGACATGAGCAGCCTGCGATTGGCCCGCGGATCGGCTCCCTTTAGCGTGGCTCGTAAAACCTTGTACAGAGACATGCTGAGGGCCCGGGGCCCCTGCAGGAGCTCCGCTGGCCTGAAGGGCTTCCAGTGGAACTTGACTTCCAGCTGAGCCAGAGACAGCAGCTCCACAGGCTGCAGGACAGACATGTTGAAGAAAAGCTGCTTCTCCACACAGACCTGACAGATGCTGCTCCACCCAGACACAAGTCTGCCTGCAACACCATCCATGGGTAGAGAGTTTGTCAGCCTGTAGCTTTAAAAACTGAAGATCTGCTGAGATCTTTACTATTATAATTTAAAGAAAGATAATCATATGTTTGTGTTGCCAAGGACTTATGTTGAAGTATGTATATATTTTGGAATAGGACTATAACAAAATGCTAAATTAGTAAACTGTTCTTCCTCAAATGTAAAAATAATTAAACTTACTGTAAGGAAATGTTTATTTAAATCTAAAATGACAATGTTTTTGAATGTGATGGATTGTTCAGAAAAAAAAATCAATGATTAAATGGTTGAATTTCCACTCATGGAAAAGAAACCTGAACAAATACACATTTAACAAGCTGATATTCAAGACTCATTCAAGTTGGCTGGAAAAAAAACTGAGAACTATTTTCAAGTCCACTGATTCAGCCACTGGTGAATTAACTCACTGCTTCTTCATTTTACAGTTCAGCATGACGCCACGTGTGGTTGATCTAAATTGATTGTAGTGTAAACATTAGCTTACTACTTTAAATAACATTTTTTTTGACTCGATTCCGAAGAATTTCATTACATATGACAATATAAGTTGAAAACTTCTAAAAAGTTCTTGATCAATCGTTTCCTACACATGTTCATTATCCAAATAATACAAATACTGGCTCCTGATTGGCCAGAACACCTGCTGGTCTCCTTACCTTGGTCTTGCACATATCTGATGATGTTTCCTTTGACTCCATACTCCGACACCGTACACGGGTCACTCTCCTGGTTCTGGACGTTCTCTGACCTCCGTAACATCCTCCACAGTGCAGAGGGGACATGGCGTCGGTCCTGCAGGCCTCCCGGGGGTCGAGGCCTCCCGGAGAGACCGAGCGATCTGAGAAAGTACCGCTCCTGGTTCTGCATGTCATCAACCTGTGCAAGTTCACTCACGACCACGCAGAACAACGACGCAATAAGGAACAGCAGCAGCAGACGAGTCGGAATCATGGTGGACGGTGGTTTCCTCGGCGGATTTGTTTGGCCGTAAAGGACGCTCGACGTTTGTTTGAACCCTCGCCACCTCCTGCAGAGGAGCTGATAATTATGTCACTGAGGAGGAGACAGGCACGGGCTGGAGATAAGGTCGAGGTGGTGAAGGAGGGAGGAGACACAGGGACACTGATTTCAGGTCAGGGGGAAGTTTAGATTCTTAAAAAGTTAAATAAATCATATACCAAATACGCTGTTTAATGGATGTTCATCATTTTCTCTAACCTTTCGTATTTGTGTCTATCTTTAATTAATTTAATCAATGGGACCATCCGTGTCAGTCTTACTCTCCTCTGCAGGTTCAGACAGTCGAGTTATACACACCTCCAGACCACAGAGTAAACCCGAGCGACAGTGTTGCAATCAAGTTTTTAATGTTATACCTTTGTGTATATGATTTTGAGTTGTATAAATTGTTAATTGATTTATTTTTCAGTCAGAAATCCAATGGGTTTTTCTATATTTTGGAAAATCTAGAACAGAGGTACTCAAACCCCCGCTCCGCGGACTGGTACTGGTCCGTGAGTCATTTGGTACGGGGTCACAGCAGCTGCAGTGAAATAATTTACTTAAAGAGAATCCTGTCCACTGCTAACTTTCTTAATTTAAAAATAATCAGGCAATTTTAGAAATATTGCATCTTTCAGACTATGATAACAGAATGAAGTCTAAAAGATTTTTTATTTTCAAATTTACTGCTCCTCAATGAACCTCCAATGATCAACACGGTGCTACCTGTCCCTGGTGCTGGCCAGTACTTGTTGACCAGTCCTTAGTGCACAAAAGGCTGGGGACCATTGATCTAGAAGAACCATTACCTTAAACAGGAGAATATTTTTTCCGACACATTGTAAAATTGAGAACAACAATAATCAGCACACAGTATTTTAGTTCCAGTGATTTTTTTAATATACCAGTTGGCAATCAAAGATGATTTTGGATTTGAATCATTATTAACATCAGTATGTACAGTGGTCAAACTTAGAGCAGGAGGCTGTCCTTACAGGCTGTGTGTGTATGTGCTGGGAGGGGCTGAGAGGAGGAGGAGGTGGGGGGGGGGGCAACAACTGACATTCAGACATACAAATAAACAAAAGAATAAGTCCCAAAAAGACTTATTTCATTCGTTGATTTAACATCTTATGGTAAGTGTGCATAGCTTGGACAAGAAGTCTGCCACAAACACACACACACACACACACACACACCATTCACACAAATAAATATACACACACAATACACGGACAACCCACTGACGGTAGGACATTGGACAATAATGTGCACTGTATGACCCTCAGTCTAAATGTCACCTGATCTCACACTCTCTCACACACATGCATGTAAAACTTTCATACATGTACATGTAAACACATACACAACTACAGCTGAACAGATACACACACACACACCGCCTACAGATGCAGCTGGAGCATCTCATGTCGTCATTTACTTTACAGTCAGAAGAACAGAGTTGGTTCTCTCTACGGTACTTTTATAAACATGTGCATTAGGTAACGGAAAACAAACAGTCGCAAACTAGTGTTTAGAAGGAACGCTACACTTTGGATGATGAGTGATGAGTGTTTTTTTTAAAGAAAAACCTCATCAAAACCTATAAATGTATATTTAGAAAAGTAAATGTAAAGTAAATAAGAAAAGTAAGAGAGATACAATATATTGCATTGTTCTACTAGTGTGGACACAGAAAAAAAAAAAAACTTCCTAATGCACAATCCGACATTAGCGACCAAAGGTAAAGCATTCGCTGAGAGAACCATCGTCTTCTATGAAGTCTTGAGAGGAGAGAGCATTATCAGGTGAATATACTGTGTTTCTCTCATACGTCTGTCTGTAACGCCTAAGAATATATTGCTAAACACACAGTTGTATTTCTGTTACATGCCTGACTTGGTTTCCCCACTGATAAACATTCTGTGGTCTTCAATATAAAACAAATGACTGCATGAGAGGCCACATGAACAGCACTTACCGTTGGACACACTAAGTCAAAGTTACAGCTCATGGAAGCAAACACACATCTAGGGCTTTGGTGCATCGCGGGATCATCAGGAGTGTTTTTCTTCACTTTCGGGGAGCACGACGAGTGCTGATGTTCTCAGTTTGTATATATATATTTTTTTCATCTTTATAACTATAAATTCATTCAGTGACCTATGTACAAAGTATGGCAAAGAAAACAAAAGTATTTAAATTTATCAGCAGATGTCACTGGCTCTTGCTCGCGTCTTGTCCTTAATGTCTCCAGTGATGTGAAAGTTTCATGCTGGGAGAGAGGGAGTGTCCACATCAGACTTGGACTCCTGAACCTGATCTGTCCCAGAGTAAAAGCTCTACAGAGTCCATATCCAGGGCCTCGGTTTAGTCAGATTTAAAAAGCAAAGGGGAAAGGGCTCCTCTGACCGTCACCAGGGTCATGTGGCGTTGACCTCCATGATGTGGTCGTCAGTGGACGGCAGCACCAGCACCTGCCGAGCGTGGGTGTGGTTGAACACCTGTCCGGGGCTGAAGGGCTCCAGACGTGGCATGGCCACGCCTTTCTGCTGCTGGTCGACGCTGCCCACTGAGTGGATGCTGCCCCTGCTGCGGATGCTCGCCGTGTCCGCTTGGTCGTCCAGAGGCTTGTCCAGCAGAGACAGAGAGTCGTTCTCAACGCAGCTGTCTGAGGTTGAGCATTAAACACAAAACAAATACGTGAACTGTTCACTTTATTTGATAAAGTTTAAACCTTCAATTTCACAAT